AGCACTTCGAGAGCGATTCACTAAACCGTAACCCGATGGATAGGGAGAACCTCTCAAGCACTTAATTTCGGTCTCTGAGCCGCCTACTGGTAGCTGGTCTTAATTATTCATGCCGCCCTCAACAGAGTTTAGGGGTTTAGGGTTTGGGGTGATTGTGCAGCCGAGAGGCTACTGAGAACGGCAGGGTTCCTCAGCAGCAGGGCTTCCCGACAAGTGCTGTCCTATCCAAGATTGGGAAATTAGCAAACACACACACACACACACACACAAGATTCAAACCTGACACCATCGAAGTCTGACACCTTGCTACCTGCTTCAACCTTGGGGTTTTCGGTGCTCACTCTCGGACATGCCAGGCGAGGTTCTTGGTGCTTAGTCGGTTGGACGGTCTAACCTTGGGGCTTCAGTTTGGGGGTTATTGTAGCACTGCCTTCATCAGGTTTGCAGCCGGGATCTTCCGCAGCTTAAGCACCACCGATGTTCACCGGACCGAAAGCCGTCAATCTCAATCAAGGCCAGGCTATCCAAACTCAGGAGATGCAGATGCCCCTCCCCCCCCCCCGCACCCCCCCTCCACGCGAGCCTTTGTAATCCAGAAGCAAAAAACCTGAAAAGCTGGTGGAGCCTGCCGAAGGCTTCAGTACTCACTCCTGAAGAAATGAAGCTGCCCAGAAGCATGCTATATCCGGGCGGCACCCCACCTGCAACACACCAAAGGCTGGGAGACAGGACCCGAGACCCCCATGTAGTGGCAACGACCGCAGTTTGGTGTGGCTGCAACATGACGGGAAAAGGCCACAGGCTTTCGCCTCACGAACCACCGTTGTCCATAACTTGCGGCCTGAATCTCCAGTCTCTGTAACTCTACATCCTGCAACCCCAATCCTGCAATCCTTGACGGCCTAACTACTGCAACTTCAAGCTTTGACTCCACCGGACCGGGATCTCACAAACAACTCTCCCTCTGGCGAGGACAGATCCAGCAAGAGTTTGGACTGCATAGTTCCGCTTAAATGTCGATCTGACTCTTCAGGGCTTTGTCTATGCGCCTGTTGTGGTGGCAGGCGTGAGGAACTTGTAGACGATTCTTGGCGGTGGCATCGGCCAGCACAAAGCAAGAGCGGCTCAGGGTTGTTAGGAATCGACGCTCACAACTCGGATAAGCAACCAAGACAAGCACAGCAAAGCCATGCCGCTTTAAACACAAGCGTTGGGAGTAAAGGCGCTGGGTTCTCGCGCAGATTCATCTCGCGGTCATGTTGTCACTATGTTTCACTACACCCCTTACTGATGCGATAGTCTACACCCAACGGCGACAACAAAACCGAATTTCAGAGAGGTGCAAGCATACGTTCTCGCTGCAGACCCAGAAGCCCGCAATCACAAAACCCAGCTTGAGATCCTTTTGCATGAAAAGGCTCTGCACTATCAGAAGTCCGGCAGCCATAAACTGCGCACCAACTCCTGAAAAGGCACTTAGTGCTGGGATTGGGCCCGGGGATCGGATGTGACGTGTCGATTCAGGGTGCGTAGACTTCAAGTGTCTGAACCGCAAGTTCACTTAGGAAGACATGTTCATCTGTCCATCTCTCCTGAAGTGGGTATAGGGTATCTTGCATGATCCTACATCTTACACTTGGGATTCAGGAATGACATAATAACACATACCTACACGACTCTATGCAGCTCAAGGCACGCACTTCGTCGATGAAAACCGCCGGCACCAAACCCAGTGACACCACGAGGATGGACCTCAAGTATGCAGACTTTAAGGTTTAGGGTTTAAGGCCATAACCAGGCAGGCAACCCCTGGGATCCCAAGGTGGCTGATGCATGTAAATACGGAAACGATTGTCTCAGAATCAATCGAAAAGTATCGAAACAGAACAACCTGCTATGGCTTTCAAGGGGTTGAGGGTCAACTCGGGCCGCGGCGTGTACATAGCTTTCAGGATGCCCCTCGCCGGGGTCTCTGCTCCGTAAACATGCTTCATGCCTGCGGCGCTATGGTCAGTAAGTCTGCTTCCCGGGTCGTTGGCCAGGGTGTTGATCGGATTAGGGGAGCCATCCTGAGAACGAATCTTATTTGTCTACCGATGCCATCGCAACCTTTTGCAGCTGGGCTCGATGTGTCAGCCAGTCAGTGGGTCAAAGCTCAGAAAGGTGGCTGAGATTCCAACGCTAGCGAGCCAAGAAACTGGAACTTGAAACCTACCTATCGTTTCCATTGTAGCTTCCTTTTTTTGGTTAGCCAGAATCTCTATTAGAAGATCCTAGCCATAAAACTGGTAAACCAAAAAGGACCAAAAAAAGGAACCACAACGGAGACCGTAGGTAAGCCCTAAATCCGCCTTCGCCATTCGTGTAGAGGCCATAGCACACAGGAACCTGGGTTCCACATGCCGATCTAGGGTTTTCATTTGTATTTTTATTTTTTATGGGCTCTTTTCCGCCTGCAAGTAACTCCTATTTTTTTAGGGTTTAGGGTTTAGGGTAATTGACTGATAATGAATCACAAGTGTCGAAAGTCTGAAGGTCGGTGAGTGTTGTTGACACCGCAACTCTTCAAGGGACCATGTACTATTAGAACAGAAAGGAACAATAATTGCGATGCTTCTATACCTAGCAGGCCGCACACCACTTCACTCTGCTTCGACGAAGGAGCTTCTGTTTAAGCCAAACTCTAATCAGAACACCTTTGACTGAGCGCAAAATTGCTAATTCTGCCCTTGCGCACGACATCAATGCCATGTTCTATGACCCCGGCCAGCACCGCGATGTTGAGGGCCAGGGAGGCAACGATGAATTCGCGCCCAAGCGCCATTGAGGGCCCTGGCTAGGGGAAGAGAAACGATGAAAGCCCCGAAAACGCCTGAACCTTGTAGGGCGAGGGGCAGGGCTGTGTTTAAACGCTGGCCGTGGCTCAGCGACTGGTTGGCTCAATTGAGGACCAACGGATTTGAAGCAGCTTTCGGTCTTCGACCAAGCCGATATACTATACGCAACCCTTGCAACATGTCTGAACATGTCTACCTCCGAAAGCTAAGGTGTACGTCAAGGGCCTATCCCAATCATGGCTCGTCTCTTGCACGGGCGATTTCCAAGACTTCTGGTGACTCCACAGCCATACCCGTCGCTTTAAGCGGCCTTCACTTCGAAGACTCATCATCTCTACATCTCAGACACATGGCTCACTGAAGGTTTTAGAAAGAACCGCTGCACCCCAACTTCGAAGGATTCATAACAAAAGCAAGACATCATCTAGCCCTGTATGCCTGGATTGAAGCCTACCACGGCTGCTCCGTCGAACCTTATACATACAAACTAAAACTGAAAACCTGTGCAATAAGCGTGCCCAGACCAAGCCCAAAGCCATCCCTGAGCCTATGCGCCTAAGCCCCAAGGATATCGTCTCTGAACCCGTGCCCAACCTTCTCACAAAATCGAAACCCTAAACCCTAAACCCTGCTACTGGACTCAACCCCAAACCCTAAACTCGACCCCAAAGGGTCCAAGTACCATTATAGTAGGCACTTAGTAGGTATTTTGGGCCCCAAAGTATATCAGTATATCCTATACTACTACTTGGACCCTTAGGGGACACTTCCCTGCTAGAGTGCGGAGAACTTCTGTGCAGGCCTCCTCAGGGCTCTGCACCCGCTGTGCTAAGGTAGCTCGAGCCGAATCGCGCAGCAGCGTAAGGAGGGGAAGCCCAAACCCTTGAAGGCCCTAAGCCCTTAAATCCACAACCCTCCCTCTCACTCTCTCACTCTCTCACTCTCTCTCTCTCTCTCTCTCTCTCTCTCTCTCTCTCTCTCTCTCCCCTAAACCCTATTAATCCCTAAGACCCTGAAACCCAAGGATCAGGTGTTACTCTTGGTTCTGCAAGGGTTGGGGCGCTCCAGGATCTCGTAACTCAGACTCAGATCTCTTGGGTGGGAGCTTAGGCCTTAGGGTTTAGGGTTCAGGGGTGGTCTTGAGGAAGGTGTGCAAGTTTCTTGTCGGGCTGCCTTGCCGCTGAAACCCGTCAACAGATCTTCAACTGGGGCGTGGCACTAACATGGGCAATCCACTGGCAGAGGAAATGAAAGTACTGACGTACAAGCGACTCAGCCGGATCATCACCCGAACACCAGTCCTAAAGCACAATCCTGATCATAAACTTGGCTGGGTAAACCCAAGACTCCGCAAAGGGAACGTGATGACCTCCTCGACCAGGCTGCATACTCAATAGTCCGGCAGTGTCCAAGTTTCCATCGGCACAAGCGAACGCCGATGCTGGCTTCGAGAGCTCAGTCGCCACACATGGTGGTTCTGGGCACGACTGTGGCCGAATGCAGACTCGCGTCGATGGGGGGGGGGTGCATGCAACTATAGGAGCCGGAATTGCGGATGTTGCTGTAATCTGAGTCGCTGAATGTCGCTGATCTGGACACAAAGACTCCGCTCTTGGTTGGAACCCTGGTTGGAATCCACTCCTCGGTTCGTTGGCATTCCACTTCAGTGATGGAAAGCTCTCTCAGCTACATGTCTGTGAGCAGTGTTGTTCCCAACTTCGGCCTCCGGATTGAGCACTAGTTTCAAACTTTGCAACAGCGACCAAAACAACTTTAAGCAAGTGTTCGAATCTTGGAACCTAACAATGCTTCTCCACCCTCTGTCCCAAACAATGCATGTTTACCTACGGTAGTCAGCTGTGGCAGTAGCACTGATCAAAAACAGGCGTCTGTCTTTTGCTACATGTTGTATGCTGCAGAATAATATCGGGGCCGTAATACTTAGAATAGGGTTTTGGGGTAGGTTATACTAAAATCATGATCAGGAACATGGGTAATCATCTAGGCCCCTTATACTCCTAGACCCTCCATCTACCCTCTATTAGACCCTACATGCCCCTTATTTGGGACCATATACCCCTATTTGAGGGTACAAGGAGGGTCCTGGCTGTACCAGGCAACGTGCCTGGCGAAGACTGAAGCCGGCAGCACTGAGAGCAAGGCGGGGATCCTGTTGTAAAGGATAGCACCTCACCTGAGCAGTTCAGATTTAGGGTTTAGGGTTTAGGGTTTAGGGTTTCGTACAAGTCTGAATTGCCCCTGTCTTGCATAAAGCCTTGACTTTTCATAGCAGTGTACGCGGATCCGGGCATCTGGTTGGGGTTGACTTTTACGTTGAGCTGCCCACTGCAAGGAAGGTTCAGGCTCATACAGTGTGTACTCGGTTGTTCTCTTGATCCTGCGAGTTCCTATGAAAGCCAAAAAGCCAAGCTGAGTTTCCTTTGGCAGCCTTTCGCAATCATCTGAAGCTTCACAGTGGCGCACAGCTTCTGCCAGACCCGACCACATCGGCTGTGACACACACTGCCCTTGGACATGGTGCAGTAGTGGCGCGGCCGATGGACGACTCACGATTAACGAAACTATGACCGTTGATAGAAAGCAGCACTTAAAATGGCAAAACGAAGGTTGTCATTGCAAAGTAGTGTTGGTACTGACAACCATGACCGGTACTGTATTTCCATGTGGTTCACAAGCCCCGATACACTAGGCATCAAGCTGAAGAACTCTACCGATTCTGCACAACACCTTCAAGCCTTCAAGCTAGAGGAGCTCGCATCAACCCAAAAGCCCTCACTCCGAGGCCCTAGGCCCTTAAGCCTGAACCCTTTTTGAGCCCTTTTGCAACTGGCCTGCTGCGACTCCGCCAGGACGAATAACCCTAAACCCCCAGTCAAAGGCCCAAAAAAAATCCAGAAGCTCAATGACCCGAGAGCCGGGCGTACGCGCTCGTGAGACTTTTTCCAGCCCGTCCATCGTGCGGGGTAGCGCTCCTCACGTGTTTCCCCAAGGGCCCCAAGACACCACTGCAAAAGAGGCCATGAACTCCTTCGTTAGATCCCGAACCTCTGAGGAACCTACGAAATCCTTAGATCTGCTGCCGCGGACACGTGAACACAGCTTCAAAGGTTAGAGGTAGAGGACTCTTCTTCCAGACTTTTGCAACTGCGGAGAAGTCTGTCCGGCCGGGCCACAAGTCCACAAGGTCTCGCTGAGCGTAGAATGCGGAGGCTGGACTGCGTGTCAAACGACACACCGAAGCAGGGACGGGCCGGATCATACAGCATTCCCGCCCAACACATGGGACGCTGGGACGCGAGAAGTTATGATTCCTTGTCGTTCAGGGTTAATTACCGGCGAAGGGCAACTGCCCTTGCTCCAAGGTCCTCTTCCAAAACATCAGCAGAACGAACTGCCCACGGGTCGATCTCAACGACCTGGTGCTAAGCCAGCAGAGCATGGAGCTCATGCCAGAAGAAACTTTGACGAAGGAATGGGTGGCTGGTGCGGTCGTAGTAGAGGCAGCAGCCGTAGTAGTAGGTGGTGGCGGTGGTAGCAGTAGTAGCAGTGGCAGTAACAGCAGCAGCAGCAGCAGCAGCAGCAGGAGCAGTAGCAGTCAGTAGCAGCAGCAGACGTAGCAGCAGGACGACGACGAGGAGCAGCAGCAGCGCTGCTGCTGCTGCTGCCGCTGTTGCCGTTGCTTCTACCGCTACTGCTACTGGTACTGGTGCTGCTGCTGCTACTGCTGCTGTTGACCGCTGCTGTTGCTGTGTTGTTGCTGTTGTTGTTGATGTTGATGTTGTTGTGGTTGTTGTTGTTGATGTTGCTGTTGATGTTGTTGATGTTGTTGATGTTGTTGATGTTGTTTGTTGTTGTGGTGGAGTTGTCGTCGTTGTCCTTGTCTCCTTGTCCTCGTCCTCGTCCTTGTGGTTGCCGTTGCTGCTGCTGTTGCTGCTGCAGTTGTAGGTGTCGTTGTTACGGCCGTTATGGTTGCGCTTGTTGCTGTTCCTGTTGTTGTTGTTGCTGCTGTTGTTGTGGATGTTGTCGTTGTAGTTGTTGCTGTTGTTGTCGTGGTTGTATTTGTAGCTTGAGATGCAGTTGCATTTGCAGTTGCAGCCGCAGTAGTAGCAGTATTAGCAGTATTAGCAGTAGTAGCAGTAGTAGTAGTAGTAGTAGTAGTAGTAGTAGTAGTAGTAGTAGTAGTAGTAGTAGTAGTAGTAGTAGTAGTAATCGTCAACGTCGTCGTCGTCGTGGTAGTACTAGTAGTAGTAATCGTCGACATCGTAGTAGTAGTAGTAGTAGTAGTAGTAGTAGTAGTAGTAGTAGTAGTAGTATTTGTAGCAGTAGTCGTCGTCGTAGTGGTCGTGGTAATGGTAATGGTGGTGGCAGTGGCGGCAGTGGTGGCAGTGGCAGTGGCAGCATCAGTGGCAGTGGCAGTGTAGTGGTAGTGGTAGTGGGGGTAATGTAGTAGTAGTAGTAGTAGTAGCAGGAGTAGTAGTAGTAGTAGTAGTAGCAGTGTAGTAGGTAGTAGGTAGTGGGGGTAATAGGTGTGTAGTAGTAGTAGTAGTAGTAGTAGTAGTAGCAGTTAGTAGTAGTAGTAGTAGTAGTAGTAGCAGTAGCAGTAGTAGCAGTAGTAGTAGTAGTAGTAGTAGTAGTAGTAGTAGTAGTGGTAGTGGTAGTGGTAGTGGTAGTGGTGGTGGTGGTGGTGGTGGTGGTGGTGGTGGTGGTGGTGGTGGTGTAGCAGCAGCAGCAGCAGCCGCAGCAGCAGCAGCAGCAGCAGCAGCAGCAGCAGCAGCAGCAGCAGCAGTAGTAGTAGTAGTAGTAGTAGTAGTAGTAGTAGTAGTTATAGTAGCAATGGTAGCAGTCGTAGTAGTAGCAGCAGCAGCAGCAGCAGCAGTAGTAGTAGTAGTAGTAGTTATAGTAGTAATGGTAGTAGTCGTAGTAGTAGCAGTAGCAGTAGCAGTAGCAGTAGTAGAAGAAGTAGTAGTATGTGGTGGCAAAGTCCATTGGCAAGAGACATGTCAAAGCTTTGCTGGCAAAAAGGTTACAGAGCCTCCAGCTGAGTTTGAGTTAGTTCAAGGCTGGCCAAAGACAAGGGCGTACAGCGGAGTCGCGCGCAAGGTCCAGGACAGGCGGAATTGTTGCAGAAAGACATTCCTGGAGGAGCAGTTGATGATGCTCATGTTCCCCGCCCCCCCCACCCCCCCCAAACCCCCCAATCCCCCCCCCCCAAGCCAGCCAAGCAAGGCCCTCATAGGAAAAGCAAGGCCTTGAAAGGAAAAGCAAGGCCCTGATAGGAAAGCAAGGCCTTCATAGGAAATGCAAGGCCCTCATAAGAATGATGTTGTTGATGATGTTCATGTTCCCCGCCCACCCACCCCAAGCTAAGTCAACAAAAAAGTACTGAAAATTTATTCCAAGTCTCTCATAGGAAAAGCAAGGCCCTTATAGAAAAAGCCAGGCCCTCATAGGAAAGCAAGGCCTTCGTAGGAAATGCAAGGCCCTCATAGGAAAGCGAGGCCCTCATAGGAACTGCTTCCCCCAAGTTTGCTGCGAAGCCCGCTCCCCCAACTTTGCTTCAGATGTGGCCAAAGAAACGCAGTGTAAAAGTAGTAAATGACAAGAGGATCATAGCGTCAAATAAGAGACCTATCCGCAGTCGTCGTAGTAGTAGTAGTAGTAGTAGCAGCAGTAGCAGTAGCAGTAGCAGTAGTAGTAGTAGTAGTAGTAGTAGTAGTAGTAGTAGTAGCTGTTGTAGTTGTAGTTGCATGGTTGTAGTTGTAGTTGCAGTTGTAGTTGTTACTGTCGTTGTCGCTGTAGTTGCAGCTGTAGCTGCAGCTGTTGTTGTTGCTGCTGTTGCTGTTGTTGTTGTTGTTGGTGGTGGTGGCGTCCTTGCTCGTTGTTGGAGGTGGCAGTAAAACGCGCAAATGAACTATAGATGCACCCCTGCCCTCTTGAACCCTAAACCTAAACCCTTCTGACCTGAAGCCTGGGACAGCCACCTACGGAAATGCGCATGGGAAGTCGAGTCGCGGAGATCAACGCGATATCGGAACTGAATGCATGATGTAGCTAGCAGTTCCATAAACCGCAGAAAGCAGGAAGGTCTTCCACAAACCCTGATGCAGCCAAATCGGACACTTGTTCATGGATGGAGCATTCTCTGGGCCGCCCTGCGATTTCTGTGTTTCGCATCATAGGGTGCCGTGGGGTTATCTGCAGCACCTCGTCACCGACCTGACATGGGTCTGGATGTAAGAGATGCGACGTTCGGGCTCAGGGCGGAGTACTGGAGCGGCGCTTAGGGGGCTGCTCCACAGTTAGAAGGACACAGTAGTTGTCGAAATTACCTCGATATGCTTTCCGAGCTGGAGCAGTCCCATTCGAAACACAAGGCCTGAAATGGCGTACCAATGTTCGACATGTGACCACCTTGGACGTGGTAGACTTCAGTTGGGCCTCGCTTCGAACCAGACGTACTTCAACTCTAGCATGAATGAAACGCAAAGAGACGAGCTCTGAGGTCCTGTTGGGTTGGATGCATCCAAGTACAAGACCAAACAACACATGTCAGCAACGTACATTTTCCACGGCCGTCCGAAGCAAGGGCCGTCAAAGGCGGATCGCAGAACCATTCTTGGCTTCAGAATATAGGGGCCGTAATAACAATAATTAGAATTGGGCTTTGGGGATATTATGCTAGATAGGTACTTATTTAGGCACCTGCATTAAACCGCTGGCATGCCGGCACAGCATCCTGGTCCCCATCGCCTCCATAGTTCGGCTCACCAAACAAAAAAGCTCATCAGGCTATGTACTGATACTACAGTATACTACCATATATTATGGCAGCTTATACTATAGCATACTTTGACAACATACTGTACACAGATACTGTACCATATCTGGATGTACGATCTATAACTTACCATAATATACTCTGACATCCGCCTGTGCTTCGAGACTTAGACTTCTCAAAACCCACCCCGACCTTGACCATGGAATCTTCCATGGCATGCTCCTGGCAAATCGCCGTGATCGGAATTCCTGGTGCGAGCCTGGGAGAGGAATTGGGTTTAGGGTTTAGGATTTAGGGTTTCGACGCTCACTCTCGCACAAGGCAGGCAAGGCTCCACATAGTCCACAGGATCTCAACAGGGTTTAGGGTTTAGGGTTAGGGTAATTGGGTTCGGTGCCTAGGTCCCAAGTCACCCCAGTCTCGGATCTTGGAAACACCCTTTGCTGTTTGCGTGGCGTGGTGGCCAGGACTTTTACATTGCTTGTACAAGTAGGCTCAAGCACTCGAGCATGAACTCGCATTCCGCGCGTTGTCTAAGGACACAGGCCGGCAACTGAAAGAAAGAAAAGGACATGAGCTTGTGTGGCCCACTTCTTGCTAGGTGTTCGGACGTACATGTAAGTCACCCTCTCGGTCAATTCTCTGGCATGTACTTGATGTTGCACGCTCTTATAGAGTCTTGACGCCTGCGGCGTCATCGTCGCCCCAGTAACGAGTACTTTACGACTATGAGAGGCGTTGCAAAAGCGCCAAGCATGCCGGCGTACCAAATATGCATCATAGCAGCTAGACAGCCCTGCCTTTCCAAAGATGATGTGACTACGCCAAGCTTGAGAATTTTATCATTCTGACACTCCGTGGCCGAGGAAGCAAGTACAAAACAGCGTTGTTGTCAACAGCCCTCCGAGAACAGAGCTCAGTCGCATGGCGATTCAGGGTCGCAACCTGCTTGCTTCGGCAGGATCCGACGGAGGAAGGACCCTGCATCTCCGATGAATCGTAGTGTGGGAGAGTCCGACCATGCACGATTGCGAAGCAGCCTGCTATGAAAACAGCAAAGACAGCAAAGCGTACTAGTCGAAACATGTCGAAGACACTTCAATCAAGGCCCAACCAAAAACAAAGAAATCGCAATGATCACGGCACCACGGTAGTCTGACAGAATGCTGCATGGCTTTCCCGGCCTCGAAACTCTAATCTACACCCTCAGGCCTACAATGCCTGAGCTTTCTTCCAAGCCGATCAAACTCTGCACCTGCGAATTGAGAGCAAGCGCACCGGCCTTCAGGTCACCGGTACCGGTGTCCCAGGGGTAGAAGCTTCGTGGGTCGACCTCGCGTTTATTGTCGAAAAAAGCTGCAAAAAACGGGGCGAGGGTGTCTAGTGGCTTCGGAAGAGGTCTGGATCTGTATGAACAGGAAGGGGCTGCCAGAGGGTCTGACCACACGGAACGTAGGCAGGTGGCGTCCCCATAGCCGAATATGACCAGGTAATTGCATGCTTCCCAAGCAAGTGCTATCCCCCACGAGCTTCTGCGGCTAAAGTCCTCACGAAGCTGTCACAGCCCATGCACCCCACCTCTTTGCATAATTCCTCGAAGACTCGTGGGTAAATCCTGCTGCGGATAAACAGCGCCCCTTGGACGCGACCGCAAGAGAACTGGATGGCTAGCTGGGCTCACTCGAAGAGCATCCCCACTGCGGGCGGACGCTATGCCCAAGAAGGTGCAGAAGCTGCTTGAAACTCGTATGCAGACGTCACAGATGTGATTGCACTTGGCACTCTACGCAACACATCCTCAGGTTCGGAGTCCTGATCTTGGCATGTGGATTGTCCATGACGATCACACTGTCGAAGAATATGCGAATGGAACCTGCCAGCAAGAGAACTGCAGAGTCTTTAGAGTACCGCCACGGCCACGACGTCCTAGATGTGGGTGGACGAGGAGAAGAAAAGCAGAACCTGCGATATCCTTCGACAAACTAAACAGTGTACAACGGTCACAGCCATCCATCCCTGACCGTCACCCCCAAACTCACAATGGTCATTCGAGGTGAAGCATCTTCAACGTGTCGCAATTCTTGTTGCAGTTTGCAGGTCCGAAGAAGTTGGGCACCTGCCGGATCCACATTTTCCGAGCCGATGGCAGGCTGCACCTTTCAAGGCTTGAGGAGGGCTCTCCTTTGTCGGGATCTTGGATCGAGGGTGCAGTAGGGTGCGAGTTACGAAGGGTGCGGGTGCAAGAACTATCGGGGCGGCCCTGTGCTGCTCGGCAATCACCTAAGTAATGCCGAAGATGAAAAGCTTTTCCATGGTCACTCTAGTCCAGCCATGTGGAGCTTCAAAGCCGAAAATGGCACTTGAACAACTCAAACACACATACTATACACCTGCAAAAGGACTCACTTTGATGACTGCTGAATACTCACAAGATCAACATTATTCGGATTCATACCTTTGCTTTCGAGGTCTTCTTACCGCCTAAGACACAGAGCGAAACGGCCTGGACCTGGGTCTCAGACACCCTGCACTTGAGGTCTTCCGGAGGTCGGCTGTTCGGCACTTACCAACCCAACTGAGCACAATCCGAAAAATGCAATGCTATGGCACCATGCCTGAACACACACAGGACAGAAAACATAAGCAAACAGCCGAGCACACCCCGATATGTTCACAATCCAACCGGTGCTGACACAAGAACCAAAACGCCCAACAAGACACACTGCCTTTCTACTTGAGGCTGAGACAATAACGAGTACATGCCACCATCAAATGCCATGTGATAAATATCTCTAAGTCAGAGACCCGAACTCAGATCCACCGCCAACCTGAAACGTTCAAGCCCTGTAACGGCCCAAGCTCGAGGCTGGCGTACAACCGCACCATATCGCGCTTCAAGCCTACACCCTAAACCGAAACTCCAAACCATAAACCCTACAGTCGAAACCCTAAACCATAAACACTGCAGCCTAAACCCCAAGCCATAAACCCATAACCATGAACCCTTTGAGCTTGGCGCTGCCATGACCTGAAGGTTGCGGACTGTGCATGCCTGGCAGGCCCTGAGCTCCAGGGCATTGGTTGAAATGGGATACTACGGTTGATGATATAAATCCTGCATTGTCCAGAATAAGGAATATTCCATAATTCCCATAGTTTAGGGTCCTTTTGGTAATGCAGGATTTATATCATCCACCGTGCTAGCCATTGTTCTTCATTTTATCACAACACTACAAGAAGCAAGCAGAGTACTGAATCTAATGCTGGTACTAATGATAAGCAGGCATACTACTTGTTGTCGTTCTTCTTATCGCAAGTTTAGTAAGAACAGTACTGATACTTATGCGAATAACAATAAGGATAATACTGAAAGGGCTCTCCTTTATTGCTGTAGGGTCTAGGACACCACTAACTGTTGTCATTTTCATCATTACAATAGTAAGAACGGTAATGATACTAACACTAGTCGTAATGCGAATAGAAGGTAATGCTAACGGTTCGAAAAGGGCTCGCTGTAAGGGTTGCTGAAACGGTTTGTTTTTATAGTATATAGGGTTTAGGATAGTGCAGGCTTTGCTTGTCTATTTTGGCGTCTAGGGGTCGCATGCCTCCTAAGTGCACTGCACAGGCTGAGCAGAGGGAGCCAAAGCTGGGACGTGGAAGTTTTAGGGATTTGGGGTAGGGATCACAAGAATACAGGGATCAAATAGTTATCTTTTACAGTTAAGTTTGGGGGGCTTAGGGACCATCGTAGGGATAATACGAAGTTGGCGTAAGTTGTCGGAGTGGGTGGAAGGCTGCGAGGCTCACACGCCCTTGATTTGGGGAATTTGCCTTGCCAAGATACATGTCGTGATACAATCAGTACGATTTCATGTGACAGCACTGGAGGCAGGTAAGACGTCAATTGTTCCAAGGGCCCAGGACCTAAGAGTCAATGGTCCCGGGGTGTCCCGTACTTCTTTCCTTGTGCTTCAGGTCTACAAGCCCGAGAGCTTGCAAGAGCCATCTACAGTACAATCCCTCAAACAAGGCTTCATGAGAGCGACCTTGGGGCCCTATACGCGAGACACAGCAGGTTCCCCTTTCGAGCGATCTTCGTGTCATCAGCCCAGCCCCGTCTATGCGTCTGCAGCCTGCTGGTGCTTGCTCGGGGCAGGTGCTCAGAGACTCAGTTGCTTACGCTTTGGAGATCAGGTTTGCTGTCAGCACTGTCTCCACACTTTTGGAATCGTGCTGGGCCGCGTGCCCTCCTGGTAGATCGTGCGGTATTGCCGCCAAGATATCCTGGCAGAGGGGCCAAGATCCGCTACAGCACATAGAAGCACTGGCCCAGAGACAAGCAGCCACCACCACCACCACCGCCAGCACAAATCCCATGAGTCCTAAGTGGCAGTTGAACCCGGGACGCAAATACGATCACAGCTGAACCCGAGCCCTTCAAGACTCATCAATTCCTCAAAACCAGATGGAAGTCTCGACACCTCGCCCCTCTGAGCAAAAACCCACATGTGAGCTTCCGAAAATAGAGGACCCTAATATGGTACCCCAAAAAGTAGGATCCGGATTATAAGGACCCCAAAATAGGTACCCCCAATTTTCGGAAACTCCCACATACAGTGAACCCTGCAAGCCCTGAACATAACAGCCCTCGCACCTGACCACCGGGGACCGGCCCAAGCAAGGAGGCAAAGGAATGCTCCCAGGCCTGAGACACAGGGCAACTGTGTTGAGGTGTTGCAGCATTTGGGTGTTTCCGAAAATTTGGGTTCCTTATTTGGGGGTCCTTATACTAAGGATTCTACTATTCAGGACACTATTTTAGGGTCACCTATTTTCGGAAACTCCCATTTGCAAGGTCATTCTCCTGACAGCAGCAAACACAAGGACATCATCGAAAAAGCATACAACGGGGCAGCAAGGCTGTCCCGTGGCCCAAGGCGTATCAGTTCCCTTTAACCCCGAAAGCTTTCGATATATGCCAGATCTTGTGTTTACATCCATGGGGCCCGGACATCCGCTTTGGGGTAGAGCGGGTGCACCATGACCGATCTCGGCAGGGACAGCACTCTCCAAAGAGGCTTTAGTGAGGAGTCGTATGCCAGAAAATCGTGCATATGCACCTGCATGATAGGAGTTGGGGTTTGGGGTATTTCACCAAACTCGGAGACACTTTATTATTAATTTGTACATCTGTGTGAACATCGTCTACCATATATGGAAAAGTATGAAGAATGATATTACGTTTTTTACGGATTTGCAGTGTTTGTCAGGCAGAACATCACACTGGGGCAGGGCTATAGAATAGAACTGAACCCAGAATAAACCTTTCAAAGCTTCCTGAGTATGATTTCAGTATACGAACCATTGAAATGATAGGTAACCCAGGATCCCGGTAGGACCGAAGAGGAGGCCGGCAGTGGCCTCTGCTAAAGCTGTAGGGCTATGAAAATTGAACTCACAATGCCAGTCTTCCACAGAGCAGACCGGGCTGGTGCAAATAGATAGACACATGACAACTGTAGTGGAATCTAGAGGCAACTCAGCTCAGAAGTCCAGCGAGCTCACGCTCTTTTTGGAACAGGCCCGGTAAGAAACTAAGTCATATGCCACATCTCGGGAAAACGATGCCAAACCTCACCGGAGTCTCGATGCGCAACCTACGTCAACCAAACTCTGAAGCATGTCCAACGGTGCCCTTTCGGACTCGGACAATGACAAACCACGTACATGACAAGCCCATTCACCTCGTGACAACAGCCTAGCTACCTTGATGTCCCGCACCCACGAGAAAGCGAGGGCTCCGAAGGTTGGACGCATGCTGCGCTTGAGAACTGGAAGTACACCCCGAAAGAACCTGGTCGACCGTCCGGCAGTACGAACTAATTCGATCCCAAGGTGCATCAATGAAGCATCATCGTGCTGGGAGCTTGCCTCATGTCTGGCTTAATCCTACAAACTATTGAGGTGTGCCCACATCGTGCTCCGCCGTCACCCGCAATCTGAAAGTGTGGCAGGAACTAGGTACACATAAAATTTCATCTCCACCAAGTATACTCGCAGCTCCAGATACGAGCTTCAAGCTCTGTTGGCTCAAGCCCTAAGACCTCCTGCAAGGGACTCTTATACCGACTTCTTCTGACCCAACTTCGATTCGCAATCAGGCGCCATGGTGTAAAGGCCTGCTGCTGGCTACATGTGTCGCTGAATTTCCCGGGCGATTCCATGGTTTTCAGACACTCAGCTTGGGCTTGAGCAATACGAACCCAACTTCTGAAACCTCTATGCAGATGTGTCAACAGATGATGATGGTGATGACGATGATGATGATAATTGTCTTTTTGAACTTACAGGACATCGCTGATAGTTGTCGGGTTCGGTGGCTGGGCTCCACACAACTGGCATACCAGACAGGCTGGCGATGAGCGACAGGATCCAGTTTTGTTCTGAGCAAGCATGAGCTGAGCGTTTCGGCTTCGGGTGTCTTAGTGTCGTCGGTTAGACGGTGTGCTCGTGCTTCTTATGTTGCATCTAGGAAACATTGATTCGAACAGGGACCGGTTCCCAAGTCGATCTGCTACGATGGCTCCAGTGCAGCAGGAAAATGCATCAAAACAGGCGATTCCACCTAGTTTGCGAACACCGTTCAGGTCGTGGAGGTGTTGCCTTAGCCTTCTCTCCTGGCCATGACCCCGGGGGTCAAAAAGCTTCCGTGGTGAGCCTCGAAGCCTCTTCGAAGATGCTGGCCCGACGGCTTCGCACTATCCATGCCCGTAGCAACCACGAAGCTACCAGTGTTTCCAAATTGCCGAAGCCCGGGGGGGGCTGTCCGCCCCTTCGCACCCTTGCTTCCAATCCCCGAGGAGCCCCACTTTCCTTACCTTGGGTTAGTAGGGAATGGAGGAATGGGGTACAAGTATAGCTACAATTACTACCAATTCCCTACTAACCCAAGGTAAGTTTCAGGCAAGAGGCGGAACCACCAAAAGTGAGACTGTAGGCTCAAATGCTCCGTCAGGGCCTCTTTGACCTCAAAGACCGACGTGCACGCGCTGAAAACGTACATGAGCAGGTGTGCCGCAGGTGTGACTGACGCAGGTGCCAACTGCATATGTGGACTAAACTTTGCAGGGTCCCTTCAATCCATACCTGTCACGCTCCAATGCCCCAAACAACACACGATCAGGCAAGCAAAGCCGCCCAAGGCTCTGATGCAAGTCAACTTTGAGTCCTACTAAGGCAGCCGTCAGCTACCCCTGGTGATCCCGGAACCCATGCCTCGAATGCTAAGGTGCTTCTTGGTCGTTCTTTGAGCTCCCAGCAACATTCGCCAAGCCGTCATGCTCGCCAGGACTGAGCCTGCAGTGCACAGTGGTTCTGTGATTGCTGCCGTGATGGAGTTTCTGGTCGGCGGTGCTGGTACTGCTACTGCTTCTACTACGGGCCCTGTCAGCTAGCTGTGTGTAGCTGGTGTTTTCAGTAGTCGTGCTTGCTTGATGGTGATTGCGGTGCTGGTGGTGGCGGCAGGGGATGGTGAGGCCACGAAGCGGGCGAATCCTGAGGCAGCAGCACGTTCACACCCTTGATGGCGAAGCGGTCCTGGACCTTAGGCGAAGGCATCCATGCAAAATTGTTGTATCTTCATTCTCGGGGGCGACCAATGCACGGCCTTGTTATCGCTGCATCGGGAGGTTGTTGGCAAATCATCTGTACTTGGGAACATTTTTCACTTGGCATACTTCTACCCATTGAGCATAAGGCGGAGTTTCATCATATCTTGAATTTGAACGATGAAAACGTATGCTTCGTTAATATTGCCGCTGTGCTTACCACACCCGGCGGCCCTCAGGCCCGCTATCCTTACTCCTCCAAACTCCTCAACAAAACCCTCAGCCCTAGCAGCCCTTAAGCCCCACAACCCACTCGACGCCACCGGATCTTGCTAAAGCTAAAGATTGAACCCGGCGAAGAAATTCCCAGAAGTTTCTCCCGGATGGCCCAGGCGACCGGACATTCAGCTTCGCGGCTCCTGCCCGTGCCTTCGTGGCAAGCTTCTAGTCTTGGCATCGGGATGTGTGGGGCTCCAGGGTAGAGGAGCTCCATTTTCAAGCAACATCACCAGTGAGGAGGCTGTTGTCCACAGATCAAAACAGACCTTGCCATGAATTGTTATTTCAGCCTGGGAAGTACCAGGTCTGGCGACCTCAACTGGACTTTTCACCGCAGCCCCAACATTCTGCCGAGGGGCGCAAGATCTGAGTGCCATCTTCAGCATTCGCGCCTTAGAGTGAGCAAGTGGGTGCCGACTAGACAGACTGATGAGACCATACAGCCTTGAATTTCGTGTCCACGTTCTTGGATTAAAAAGGAAATCAAACATACGAAGTGCAAGAAATAAATGCCGGTACAATTCACTCAGAGCACTCCTAGAGCCAACTTGAGGCCAAATTTTGTTAGTTTTGTCGAGACTCCATCCGGCTCCCGGCGGCTTCTCATAGCTTGGGTGACTTGATGCCGGAATGTAGGCTAGAGGGTTCCGATGATTCGAGACCCAAATCCCCGATGTTGAGGCTCTGGCAAGCCGAGCTCGTTCGCCCTTCAGTCCCGCCTCTCCCGGGCCTGAGAGCTGCGGTTGGGACCGTCTCGGATCTCGCACTTTCGGCTTCACTTACTTATCCCGTGCTCTGGCTCCAAGAACTCGGAGTTGGGGTCTGGGAAGGTGTTCGTCCTGAACTCATAGGCAATCTCAATTTTACAGTGGCAAGAACTTCTCTCCGACACTCCTGGTAATTGCTAATTCAGCACCTTGCCACCTGGATCGGGCATGTACGAGGCAGTAATTTCAAGACACCTCTCGTTCACATGCGCAGCACCACAGTAACAGTCGGGGTTTCGCTAAGCAGCGCAACAGACAAAACAGGAAACAATGCCGTGTCTGCAGGTGTCGCTGCATCTCTTCCAGTCAGTCTTCAGCAGCTTCAGCAGTGACTCGACACCTCCGACTCCCTTGCCATTCGATGGCCAAGGCGACCAAGCAAGCAGTCTGACTCTGCAAAGTCGCCAGACTGCCACCGAATTATGCTGCTACCTGCTAATCTGCACTACTACCACAATGACAGATGTGAATTACTATTGTGATGGTTCATTGTTATTCTTACTATGCTCATTGCTATTACTGCAATTACAATTTGTGTATTCCTATTGGTGCTATTGCCATGGTTGTGACTGTTATGATGATTATTACTACTACTAGGGCTCAAGATCGCCGGGAGCGCCGGAATACTTAGGCCCCAAGCACGAAGTGCGCCTGCTTGTCCCCTCACCATAGGGTTGCACAAGCCATCGCCTTCTTGGCATCGCCGTGCACGAGCCGGCCGAGCCAAAATTCGAGCCGCTCTACGACAGCGGCGCCCGATCTCTGCTCTCCAGGCGGGCCGCCTGGCGTCGCACCACGCGACCTGCCCGCAGCTGAGACGACGACTGTCAGGACGTATGGGCCGATCCAAGGGCAAATGGACCAACTGGCCCAAGGATGGAGATGCCGAAGACCCCAAGTGGCAAGGCAACCTATGGCGGGGCGCCTACTCGCCCTCACAGCGGCCCTGGCGGCCTCAGCCTGGGGCTGGGGATCCGCCACCGGCACCCAAGTTTCCTACCTACCAGTCCATGGCTGTCAAGGAGCACTCATCAGGCCAGGGGCGTGGTCCCCCCAAGGGGCCGGCGGGACAGGAGGCTGCCGACCCGGGCTCAGTGATGATCTTTCAGCCGGTCCTCAACGCAGCGCGCAAGGCCGAGCTGAAGGTTCAGAGGCTTCAGGCCGGCAAGGAGCGAGCTCGCAAGCAGTGGGAAGCTTACGATGCGGAGCTCAAGCAGACATTTCTGCGGGAGAAAAGGAAGTATACGGCCAACATGGACAGGATGGCGAAGGACATCTCCGAGGCCCTGCAAGCACAAGACATTGCAAGACGGGCCGTCTACGAGGTTGTGAGTGGGCAGGCTTCCCCTGTTATGGAGGAGCCCCAGGACGATGCGATGGAATGGGACCGCACACGAACGGCCTGGGAGCAAGACGATGGTTCCGACATGAATGGTGTGCTACAGAGGGCTATGGCACATGCAGCGGCGGCCAATGGTCTGGCACGCCTGCCTGCTGCAGCCCTTGCCCCGGCACCGCCTGGTCTCACATCGCAGGCCGCGCCTCCGGCAGCAGCTTCTCCGACCTTCGGTGCCAGGACCGATGGCGAAGCTCCCCAGCGACCATCGGCTCTGCAAGTGCAGCTTTTGCGCATGGCGGAGGACATGTATGCTCGCGGCGTGATCACGGAGCAGAATTTGTACTCTGCAGAGGCCGTCCGAGACCCGTACCAATCTTCTCCTGGAAGCGCTTTCATGAAGGCTCCTACCCCCAAGGCCAGGGATGGACCGTATGCGGCGGCACATGCACCGGACGCCGAGGATACTGTGGATGCATCGATGCCCCTAGAGGACAGGCTGGCAAGGAAGCGAGAAGCGGCCTCCGGCTCTGCACTCCGCCCCTTTGGGCTTCCACCGCAGACTCCGCCTCCGGGCTTTGCTACTATCAATGCCGGAGCTCACAGCATCCCGATCGCTTCAGAGGACGAGCAGGACGAACTACCTGGAGAACCCCCGCCTGGCGAGCGGCTGGTCTAGCGTCCGCAATGAGGTTAGTGGGAAGTCCCCCATGTGCGGATTGGGTTAGCGCCGTCCTTGACTTGCCGCCTCCGGATTTCTGCGATTGTGCAGTTCTCCGTTGGGGTGGCGACGATGGCTGGCTGCTTTCTCCATGCCGACCATGGCTGGACTTCTCGGAGGCCTGTACAGTTGCAGTGGGAGCCTGTACAGACTCTTTGATTTTCCGTAGGGCGTCCGACCGGGCTCGGCTTGCACTCCTCCCTTGCTCGTCTCGCCTTCCACTTCCCTCGGCCGCTCGTTCCAGACCTTGGATTTATGTCTTTCTGGAAGCGTGCCTCTGCCCTGTCGCCTTGGCTTTGGGCCCTCATCCTCCCGGCTACCCAGGTCCCTGTGAGGCAGGGAAAAGTTTTGTTGTTAAGGAGCAGCGGGCGCCAAATAGTGAGATCGGTGGCTCTGGGCTCTCAGCCGCATGCTCCTTTACATGCTACTCCTGCCGCCTCATCGTCCGTCGTTCTCCACTTGAGGGTTTTGGCACCCTGTCCCCTAGGGGGTTTTGGTTCCTCTCCCTCCCCGACGACGGCGGCGTCAGTTCATTGCTGCAGATCGCGTGTGATGGGATGCTAAGATGGTTTAGTCCTCCGCACCCTCCTCTAGGGTTTAGGTCCACCTCTGGCAGCTTTTGTACGTCAAGGCCCTCTGTTGGTGCACCTCACTCAAGGCCTCATCCGACTTTGGACCGACCCCGCGAGGATGCCGGTGTGCCTGCACTTTCAGTGCCCGTGTCGCCCCCTTCTGGGCGGCGTGCTCTGTCACTGGCTTGCCTCGTCGTGTGTGGATGCCTTCTCCTGTGCGTCTCTGCTGGTGGAGCACTGATTGCTCCCAGCGTGCTGCCTGCCAGTTTCCTTCTCTACGACTCCGACCCAATATCAGAGCATCTTTGGCATCTTGCTCTGGCTTCTGCCCTAATCTTTGGTGCTGGGGTGCACCTCGGGTTTCCGCCTGGAGCCATCACTGTACATTGGTTCGGGATCTCGATCTGTTTCTGCTTTGGCGTCTTCCTCGCACTCGGGGCAGTCTTGCTCCGGCCGTTTCGGCGCGTCGGTGTCCTTGGCTGCCACCTCTTGTGGCTTCTGCGTTGGCTTCCCCCGCGCGCACTGCTCATCCCACTTGGAGCTTGTTGCTCCCCGTATGGGTACACTCTTGGCCTGCGCGGCGAGGCCTCTCTGCCCTCTAGGCCCAAGGGATATCGAAGATCTCAAGCTCAGCCGTGTCGCTTGCCACCTTCTCGCCATTGGTTGGCTTGGCTTTTTGTGTTGGGGGAATCCCTTCTCCCTGCGCCTGTTCATGCCATGCCTCCAGGGCTCCTTCCAAATGCGGTCTCTGCGAGCCCAGCACTTGAGCATATAGAGGGTTGGCCCTGGCAAAGAGGTGAAGGCCGTCCTGACCCCCTTCCGCCAGAAATCAGACCCTTGGAGATCCCTGTCACTGCCGATTTGACTGAGGTTCTCATTGGGGCTTATGTTGTGTCGCCCTTCTTTGCACCTGAGTGTATTGAGGTCCCTGGACGGATCCCCTGCGAGCCGAGGGACGTCGAGCGACAAGTTGCTCGTAAACTTGGGACCCTGCACCTGGCCTTCAGTGATTCCTTGATTGCAGCCAGGGTGCAGCCATGGCGCTCATGCCTCACATTCCTGGTATACCCGGAATGGACGACCTTTGCTGGGCTGTCGGCTGTCATACTTGACTTAAGCCGCATGCAACCCAACTCACAGGGGCCCGTGACGGCGTGCTTCCTCACCCGGCCGACAACCCGCAGTGAGATGATGAGAGAAGCCGGCTTGTTCTCCATGCCAGTAGGTTGCAGGTTCTTCATCGGGGACAGCACTGTACCCATCGATGATGACGCACCTATTTGGCTGCAGAACGGAGATGTGCTCAAGCTCCTGCGAGCTGAGGAAGCTCCTGAAACTCATCCTTGCCTCGAGTGGAGGCTGCAGCATCCTGAAGCTTGGCAGGCCTCACCCGCCTTTCCGGTTATTAGGCCCCCCCGAGCGGTTATGCTGCTGCACCATAGTGGAAGGTTCTTGTTTAGCCGACACGATCCCTCCCTTGGCTCTGTCGACGTGGCAGCCGCTGCCTTTGTTGGCATCGACCGCAGCACGGTGACATTCCATGCACCACCAGACGGCTTGTTAGAGCACCTTGCCTATAGGGGCTCCAACGTGCGAAGCGTCCTCGCGCTAGTCGAAAAGAATCCCGATGGCACGCAGGGGACTGTGCTCCTGCTTGACCTTCGTCAGGTTGCAGGCTCCCCGCAATTTGTCCGTCTAGCTGGACAGCGCATCACCTATGAAGAGCTAGGCCGTCTTTCCCCTACGGTTCCGCCTCCGGGGTGGCGCCTTGTTGTGCAAGGTGGACGCAAACGCGACAACCACTTGAAGGTGTGCACTGGGGACGTGCTCACCTTTGGGATCCTCCCCAACGAAGCGGTTGACTTTGACCCAGGGGCCCTTTCTTCTTCCAGTGAGAACGGGTCCGACGACTCCGATGGCGACGAAGGGGATGACCATGAAGCACAGGAGGAGGAGCCGCCTACTGATGATGCGAGCACGAGGTCCCGCTCGCGGCGGCGGGAAGATGTGCACCCCTCGCCCTCCTCGGACCCCTCGTATCAGGGTGCTTTTCCGGCCGTGACCTCGCATCAGATCAAGGGTTCACCACTTGCCTTAAGTCGGGCAACCGCCTTCCTTCAGCCCGTGACTCACTTGTTGAGCCTTACCGTTGCTGATTTTGGCCCCACCACTGAGTTTGTCGGTTCGGTTGTTGACTTTTGCTGCAGTGCAGGCAAGTCCCCAGAACCTACTGTCGGGGCACCAGGGCCTATCCCTGCCTTTCTTTTCATTAGGGAATGCACCAAGCGTGGCCTTTCAGCCTGTCTCAAAGGACCGCTCGTCCATCGCGTCCCC